TTTAAATTTCTCAGTTGAGTGTTTTAATGCTGTACTCTTGTGTACATAGTACAACACAATTATTACCTATACATTTGCTGCACTAGCAGTATATTCAATAAATATAACTACAGACAATAAATAACAATGGATCACGCTGCTGAGTAGATTAACTGGATTCAAGGGTTTTATTGGTCACAGCTAAGGTGTAGAGTCTGACCATAACCTGCAGTGAAATGCAAGGTGGTCAACTGCACCATATGCCCACGTAAGAGGCACATTAAAGCAGGAATAAAATGTGTAGCTGTGAGAGAGAGGATGTCTTTTACAATGCTAAGGCAGTTGTGTTTGGGCTGGTTTGTGGTCCTGCAGTGCAGTGGCCGCAGTGTCAGAGTACACCTTTTGCTTAATGTACACACTCATTTAGCCTGTGGGTATGCATGGAGACTGTGTTCTGGCTGACCGGTATTTCCACATGCGGCACACTGTACGCAGTTGTGCTGCAAACATGGTTTGGCCCCTGGTTGCAACAACATCTCAATAACATTGTTGATAATAAGTAATAGATATAGCTGAGAACTAATTTTAATCGCAATTTTTTTGCTTTGCTTTATGAATCGCGTGTAATGACATTTGTCATTTTGTATATGTGTCCATTTCTAAGAATGGACCTTATTGTTATAAAGTGTTGCCACATTTTCCCGATGGGAAACGGTCATGTAAGTAATTCCGTGTGTTTTTCTCAAGAAATGTTATGCTCACGCTTGATCAAGCTTTGGTCTTTGTTTCCATGCTACTTTGTCTCTTTAGAGATTCTCTATACTGTGTAAATTTTATATTACAATTGCAGCTGATTGTTTTATCTTCAAACACTGTTTTGGGCCAACTCCATTAGTTGATTGCCTGATCATATGATTATGTGATTATGAAAATAATAATTTTTTGCAGCCCTGCTTTAGTACCCCACATTACCAGTGTACGTCTTTCTGCAACTGCGTATTTCTCAGCAGTCTGAGCGGCTCCCGCAGTGGAATCTTTTCATCTCTTTCACTGCTTATTGCAGTTTCCTTCACAAAGCGCTGCTGGAGCATTAAGCAACGCCGTCATCCTTGGCATCACTGGACCTGCGAGACGTCGCTCCTCATGCTGCTTGAAGACATGTTGAGAGAAGCAGGTCCAGCTGCTCTCTGCGGCTCCCCCCGTTTTCTGCACAACAGGGATTTATTTCGACTTTTGATAAACAGTAAAGCGTTAATACATTCATTTTGCCAATAGTTCTTACCCACAGACAAAGGTTTACTGCAAGAAACCGTATGAATTTTCAAGCAGTTTTTTTGTGGTGGTACGATGGGGTATCGAATTTTAATCAAAATAGCCGTCCATTCATTGTTCATTTGATTTGGTGAGAGGCTACAGGGATGATGAGGAATCCCTCTGTGCGCCTTTCTAATAATCTCACCCATCCAATGAGGAGGTGACTGGCCACCAATAAGAGGACAGAATCCATCTTCGCATGGCTTATACTCATGGTTTGTTTGTGGGGCTCTTGTATTGATTTTTAAAACATTGTTTATGAAAAACATTATTTTCCCAAAACTAAAGCAGATGTGCTGCTTCAGTGACAGTCTTCCTGTTAGATCCCTTTGAGCTCACATTTATTACGTCTGTGTTTTCTACGGAATGAAATCCAGCAAATCAGTCACGCATGAGTCAACATATGAACACATAATGTGTCCCAGTAACAGTTTTAATTGTCGTGGACCCCTTAATGAGCTGTAATGTTTTAGTGTTGGTGGGCGTGGTGTGGCTCTCTGTGCTGGAGGTGCACTGCTGGCAGGATGGTGCCATGCAGAGTGTCCGGCTTCCTCGATTCACAAAAACGATCCACTGTGTTGCCTGATGTTGCCTGTGTTCCCCACCCGGTACTCGGGGACCCCCTATCGGGTCCACATTTTTGCTCCCTCCCAGTTCTCTGCCAGATAGCCCACATTTTTGCTCCCTCCCAGCTCCTGGCACAAAAACGTGAACGCACCTGGTTGTCCCCGATGTCCCGATTGGGAAACACTAGCCTAATTTGACTGGAGGCTGCAGCTCAGGAGTCAGTTTGCCCTGACCTGCCACTGGTTTACAACCCTCCCTCGTCAGGGCTGTTTGTCCCTCACCGCCAAATAAATGTGCAGCCTGTTGAGTCGCAAAGAGATTCCAGCAGTTGTGTCTAAATTGGCTGTCTTGGCGCCGTGGTGTTGCCACATGTTTTGCGGTGACCGTATGTGGGTCAGCAATATTGTATTTTTTATTTCTCTCATTTGCATTTAGTCCCTTTCAGGGTTTGTTCCCTGCTTCCTCTGGTTGTATTACGTCTAGCCCCAGCTGGCCTGTCTCTCTGCCGGCTCGTGCCTCGGTGTCGCTGGGTCGCATCCGAGATCCAAGCCGCCTCCATTTGCCATGCAGCGGCAGCCGAAAGCCCACGCCCCCGTCTCCTCTGCTTGCCAGCCTGGAACGGCAGATGTTCCTTCGTTGGAGACCGTCTGAAGTTTTAATGAGCCTTATTAAATTCAGATGCCACCATGGATTTTTCAATTTTTTATTTTTTTTTTTGATGGCCAGGAGCTAATCAGTTTAATTTTCAGTGCCACAGCACAAACATTCCCCTCCGTAGTTTGTGAGGCTGCTTAGCCTGCTGTGGGAGGGTGGAACAGCTAGGTACGTTAATCAAGGGGAAAGCCAGTGCGTCCAATGTGCAGTGCGGGATGTGCATCGCCAGCAGCAATGAGCTCCGCCCCTTCTCATTAGGGGTGCCGCCCATCCTTGCTCTCCAACGAGTCACATGGGGTGGATTTCAGACTCAAGAGGGGGGCGAAGGGGAGGACAAAAGGATGGAACACTTAAGGAAGCAAGTCAAAGTTTGGGGGAGGAGAGCGATGTGAGGATTGATGAAGGGAGCGTTGCTGTGCGGAACTCAGCAGAGAGACCTGATATCTTCCTGGTTTGTGTTCCTGTGGATGTTCTCAGAGTCGAGGTGAGGTGTAGGACACTCACAGCTGTCAGCCTGGGAACGCCTTTAGCTCCATTAGCCAGACATACTGGGCAACTCACATGTAGTGCAGCTCACTGTTACTTAACATCATTTTCCTATGTCCTGAAAATGTAAAACAACGTAAAGAAGAAAATGAAGATAGATCTTTTTCCTTGTCCTTCTGGCAGAATTATTTCTGTTCTTGATTTTTGTCTGTATTATACAACAACCTCAACTGGAATTCATTTTCAGCGCGGCTAATTTGCTTGGTGCCTCTTCCCCACGTATTTTATTAGGCTCTCTGTTATGTCGCCGGTAACCAAGCGGAACGCTTGTCACCCATACGTGAAACTGAAGTTTCTTGTCAATGTTTTTAAAAATAAAACATCTACAAAAAGCAGATTTCAATACACTTTTTCTTTCTGCTGCCTTGTTAGAGGACCGCTCAGATTTTCGGTGTAACGATGCCCTTGTCTTTCTCTGCCAGCTGTTTTTGCTTGATTTAAGACGAGCTGGTGCTTGTGAGCTTAACTAGTGATATGTAAGCACGGTGTATGCGGAAAGGTGGGCGGCCATACTGTCATGCTGAGGGCTGAAACACCCCTTTTGGTGGAATAACAAAAACATAAGCAATCTAGAGGTCATCCTTTACACCAGACCGCTTACAAACTCCTTCCCCTTACATTTGTCGCTGATGTTTTCTTTAATGCTAACAGCGGCCCTCCCATGTGGTCAGGATTTTTCACCAATTAGAACTGAGGAATCTGTCTGTGTTTCTAATTCCCTCAAACGGAATTTGTCTGTACGTCAGATTAGGGGAACAAAAAAAGCCAAATTAAACTACTATACTGCTGTGTCACGTTGCGGCAAGAAGGTGAGCAGGGAAGCAGGAGAGCAAGCCGTACTCACGGGTAATCAGGGGTTTAATAGGCAAAAGACAGACAGGTAGGGACATCTACGGACACTACAATGACGGATCTGGGGAAACTAACTGAGACACGGACTAAATGCACAAGACAGGTTGAACATAACAGGCAACAGGTGATCACAATCGGGGATTCACACGAGGTAATGAGGGGGGCGTGGCACACACGAGGACCGTACGGAGCTGGGCGTGACATGCTGTTATTTCAGTCAGAGTATGTGTGGTATTGTGGTTAAAAGTAGCTTATTATGCCTGTTTAAACTAATATGGCTACTGTGTCAGGGCTGGAGTCTGTGTCCATTATGAATTTTTGACCCCCATCCTGAGTAAGGTTCTGGAATTGTCTGAATAAAAATACCAGCATGAATAAGGATGTAACACTTCACGTAATGCTATCTGGATTTTTGGGTGTCTCATCTATCAGTGGAGGAAAGTGTAGTTCATTTGTATACCTTGATGTCAGAATATAAGTGTAGTTTTGATATCCTGTGATATGACTCATATGGCATATACGTGACATGGCTTTGTGGGCTAAGGCTCCGTGTTCGTGATCAGAAAGTCGTTGTTTTGATGCCAATGTTGGCAACATGATTTCAACATTGAGTACTTGATCCTTCATCCCAAATTGTTCTATGGGATGCTGTCTGACTCTGATCTCTCAAATGTATGCCGCTTTGCAATATGTAAATGTAATATGCAAATATAATGTCCATATCTGAGTTATTCATAACAGGCAGAGGTATGAAAAAAAACAGATTGTTTCACAAATGCTGTTTTCCACCTCGGATCTGGAACACGTTGAGCGCCTTGTCTGGCCACAAGAGTGGTAGATGGCTCAGTTACACTGTGTTTACTTGTAGATCAGAACAGGAAAGCAACATCCGTGTGAGAGTGCTACAACGGGCACAGTGAGGTGTTACTCAAACTATCGTGACTCACATTGGGTGGTCTGGCAACAGCTCCTGATTTAGCTCTTTTTAACTTTGTTCATGTATGTTGCTTGGTTTGTCTAGCCACTCTTGTACTCCCCGCCCCAATGTGTCTGTGTGTGTTTAATGTGATCTCCTCTCTCCTCTCTAGTGGAGAAATGCATGAACTCCATGCAGACTGGGACCCAGATGGTGAAGCTGCGTGGTGGGTCCAAGGGTCTGCTGCGCTACTTCTACCTGGACGAGCACAAGTCCTGCATCCGGTGGCGCCCATCCAGAAAGAACGAGAAAGCCAAAAGTGAGTGCTGCACCCCCTCCCCCGTTTTCACGCTTACGTTTGTCACACCACCAGAGGTAGGCTGGCCCCAGCCAATGTCTGTCCCTTTAACATATGTAATGCGGATGACTGGTAAAACATTTATCCAGATAACCAAAATATATACAGATCCTTGCTGTACTGCTCTATCTAATGAATTATCCTGAACTGCTCCAGTAGAATAACCTAGAGTATTATTGGTAAGAGGTTAATGGTCTTCAGATAAAGTGTTAGCTAAGCAGGTAAATTCTGAAGGTACTTTTTGACTCGTTAGATACAAGTCAGGTAAAGATTTGTTTACTGCTCCTTTGGCCTAACTCCAGGATGAGCTAGTATGCTCTTTGTAGGCCAATAGCTTATTAGGTCATAGACTTTGGAAGCAGGGGCATCTGGCCCAAATCATTTTATTTCCAGGAATGCCCCAGGTGATGTGCCACGCGTGGCATTGTGGGATGCACACTATACAATAAGGATCGTGTGGTGCAGAGTCCTCTGTATCATTATTTGGTCATTTTACAGTGGAGTGAACGAGTAAAGCGAATGGCTCGAGTGACTCGTGCCGCCAGGTAATAAACTCTTTCTATTATTAATGGACTTTAATTTCACAGATGCTTTATATTGAGCGCCGTGCAAATCCATCTAACACACATGAGGGGCAGTCACCGCAGGTGTCCCCTTGCGGGTGTCCCATCGCGGGTGTCCCCTCGTAGGTGTCCCATTGCGGGTGTCCCCTCGTGGGTGTCCCCTTGCAGGTGTCCCCTCGCTGTGCGATTTGGGAGCTGGACCTATTGCGTTGATGCACACCTTGTTGCTTGCACTGACTCGATTTGGGAAATACCACAACAGAGATCTTATGCATTATTTGTCTTTGTCTGTGAGCTGAAGAAGCACGTTAAGAGTCAGTCACACTCTGAGTGCATGTCTGATCCTGTGGGGATTAGGGCTGTTTTAATTTAGATGCGTGTTTGGGATTTACAATAACAGCATTGTTACTTCTATAAAGAAGCTGAGAGGCGAGATACCTTCTGTTAGCCTGTCACACTTGTCCAATTACTGTATGGATTCTTGGTTCTCCAAATAAGACATGCTGATGTTTAGTGGACCTACAAATGGTCTTGTTATACATACCTGATTGTACCAGTAGGAAACTGTTTTAATTTTAAGCTTGCATTTGGATGAAATTCAGGGACTAGTATGAACGTTACTTTTAATTGATTTCTTTTGCAGCTGTAATGCTGGTTTTCTAATGGCTTGCGGTCAGCAGTTTGAAAAGTTACGGTGGTCTTGAGATAATGGTGTGTGAAAGTGGGTAAGGTGTAATGGTGAACGCAACAGTAAACTGGCCTCAGAATCAGTGTCAGGAAGCTGGTGCAGACCATTGAATCCAGGCCAGATTCTGGACAAGAACATCCAGTGCAGGATCTCATGGCTTTGGAATTGAGAGGGAGTTCAGACTGGAGTTTCAGGCTGTACAAATTTATTCAAATAATAGAGTAAGCAACACTATGCCCCCGAAAATATGTTGCTTGCAAATATGATCTGTTACTCATTTTGTGCCTAATTTCTAATGTAACTAGATCTGACTGTTGAGTTTCATGCCCCAAGACAGAATGTAAACTCTACTTGTGTTACAGTCTGTAAAAATATATTGGGTGGAAAAAAAACCTGCTAAGTAAACAATGGATTATTACTTATGATTATTTATGCTTAGAGTTTAGTCCTAGAGGTGGTTGTGAAATAATTGGAGATTAATATAAATGGGCATTGCATTCTGCTATGGTAGTGTAATGAAGGACCTTAGCTTGGACAAAAGTGCAATAGTGAGCAGACCCTGAGCTTGACCAACAGTGGCACTGATCTGAGATGTCACAGCACCCCTGGAGCTGAGCACATAGCACTGCACATCTGCAACTCCACCCTAATCCTCCAACTGGGCTTCACTGAGCCCCATGACCCGGGGGATCTATTCCTGGATCCGGCTCATGCTCGTCATTGACAGGTGTCCGCTGGAGGTTACAACATCCCACTTTAAGGAGACATGTTGGAACACTTGATGTGGAAATTTATGCCGATACTGATAACTGCTATATTTTTGTTTAATATTACTAGGGCTGCATAATATCACACTGCGATATAATCGCGGTTGTGTGGCGCATGCTCACTAATCACCAGGGCTTTAGGTGACAGGCATAAACATTTAGATATTTCGCCCTGGTAGAATGCTGGGGTAGATAATTGGTCAGAGCTGCTTTGGTTGATATTGGCACTGTTGTCATGGTGAGGGCCCCCGCAGGCCGGAGCCCGGGGCGTCATCTGGAGGGAGCTGCAGCGTAGCAGCACTGCACTGCATGTTTACCAGCCTGCTCCCGCTGTCAGTGTGGCTGTGACTAGGCCACCTGGAGGTGTCCCCGCAGGCGCGTGAAACACGCAAACACGCTGACAGGGAGCATTTTGGACTTTGGAGAGCCTTCTGTTAGCCAGCTCCGCAGAAGAGCGCATTTCAACCTGCAAGCTGCATTAGGAAAAATCCAATTTTGTTTACGACGGCTGGGACTGCGGGGTGTAACCGTCCACACGGCTGAAAATGAGAAGCACTTATTGGTGCCCGGAGGCCCCTGCTCTATAAACACCATCGGACTCTCAAAGTGGAAAGTCTGTACAGTACGGCCCTTTACTGAGGTAATCCAATTAGATAAATGCTTAATCTGTCTTTTCCAAAAAGTAGCCAATCTTTAGCTTTGTACATGATTCTGAATGTGACTGGTAACCTCAGAATACTGCTGCAGCTACCATCATTAGAGAGTGTGCACACCTAAGCCACCATCATTAGAGAGTGTGCACACCTAAGCCACCATCATTAGAGAGTGTGCACATCTAAGCCACCATCATTAGAGAGTGCACACCTAAGCCACCAGGGTGTTGTAGGTTGTTTATCATCAATTGTTTCTCCTACAATCTGTTTGAATTTCTGTTGAATTTTGTTTCTCACATTAAATTTGGTCTGACATGATTTGTCGTAATCTCTGGCTTTACATTACAAAAACCTACTATTTTAAGGATGTGTTGACGTTTTATATACTAAATGGTATTGTATCAGGCAAAATCTGCTGTATAGAAAGATTTATATATAAATAACTAACGGTGCACATTGTAAGATTTTCCATGATATGAATTTGCAAGGCAGCAGTATCGAAATATCTGCCGATATTAGAAATGTTATTGTGATACGATACAATACGATTCAATGATACGTTATCAAAATTTTCAATATATTGAAACATAAGCTGACTCTAGTGAAATTTATTTGACTACAAAATGACGTAATATGGATTTAATTTTTCATTTTAACAACAGAATATGTTGGGGGAAAAAAACTATAACACATTGCTTTTAGATTGTCTCAAAAATAAAAACAAAAAAATGGAATTTAACCTGGACCTTATGTTACCTCATGCTGGCTGAACATTCCTTTGGGGGAAAAGTTGTGCAGGTTTGGTCTCAGGTGGAGTTGATTTTAAAGTCGGTTTGAAGAAAGAAGCCCAGTGATGACTTTGGTTCCTCAAGCTGATTTGCATGCATGGTTTTCTGATGTGTCTGTCCCCCCCCCCTCCCCCCCCAGTCTCGATTGACTCCATCCGGGAGGTTTGCGAGGGCAAGCAATCGGAGATCTTCCAGAGGTACGCCGATGGCAGCTTCGACCCCAACTGCTGCTTCAGCATTTACTATGGGGAGCACATGGAGTCTCTGGATCTGGTGTCCACCAATGGAGAAGAGGCACGGACCTGGATTACCGGCCTCAAGTACCTGGTAGCGGGAATCAGCGACGAGGACAGCCTGGCCAAGCGGCAGCGCACCCGTGACCAATATCCTCTCTGTCCCCTCCCGCCCCGTCAGCTGCCATGCTTGTTCTGGATCGCACTGCTTTTTGTGGGACAGGCTAAGCTCACCTCTCCTTGTTGATATTGCAGCTACGGGGCTGTGAAATGCAGACGTCTTGGCGTGAGCACACACTGCCCCAAAGCTAAGCGACTGTTGTTTATCGATGAGCCTTCCACATGCTAATGCGGCACTGCCAGATGCTAATGCGTCTGCATTTATTTAGTTTCCATATCCATTGTAAATATTCACAATCTCCCATAGAAACACAGAACCAGCAGCTATGCATGAGCCGAAAAAATACGGAAATTCACAAACTCCCTCACGGCTCACACGCACAAGCTCGTTTGGGACACATACAGAGAAAGCAGAATTAATAGGTGAATACATTAAGGGAGGCATTGTTTGTGTTCCATAGATAAACTGGCATAAACGTGCTTCTTATATGTAAGGATGCCTGCTTATCATAAACACGGATAGGATTTATGCATTTTATCAGCTGTCTAGTGTATTGAAGTCATATTCTATTTATTCATGCTTATTTTATTCCAAGTTAATTGCATATCAGGAGTCGAATGCATCCCAGGATTGTTTTACATTTTAAGTTATGCACATTTTAAAATGTTTCATAAATCTTGTCATTCAGTTTAAATAAGCAGCATAGGATACTCCTTTTGCATTGTTTTTGTAACCTGACTGTAATGAGCAGAATTATTGGCTTAGGGCAGACGTCTCGCAAGTGCCTAGATATATATTAGGGGTGGGACTTGATAAAAAAAAAAAATCTAATTAATTAGAAGCTTTGTAATTAATTAATTGAAATTAATCACATTTTAAATCACATTTCAATATTTGACACGAGAAATAAGAATTGAAAGTTTAGTTGATGAATGAATAATTATACATACATAAGCTTAAACTTCAAAACCTTGTTTATTTTCCCATCGGTCTACTACACAGACCAATAGATGAGTGCAGAAAACACAGAGCAAACACTGGAAATTTTGACCAAAAATGCCAAAGTACTGATTGACTTCAACTGCTCCCATTTTTCAAACATCATGTATGAAACACCAGAAAAAACAAACAATCCCATTTCAGTCAAACTCCCTCAAGTATCCCTGGGCAAAAATAAACAGACCAGCAGTTCAAGATAAAGTGCTACGTTACCGACCTGCGCGGCAGCCCCAACATGTTTTGCGTTGAGGTGGTAAAAAAGGGTGGAAGTGCTCCTGTGAAAAGCAAAGTCCTTCCTGTATAAAGTGCAAATAACAGCATTTTTCTGTTTGCACTTCCATCTGGAAATTACTTATATTTAAATTTCCCATCCACCAGCGTAGTCTCATCTGACTTCCATGGTCATCACATTGTGCGTCGATATAATCTATCTGCCTGGAACTCGTGCACTGAGAAACATTCTGCAGTGCAAATTAAAGTGCAAGTTAAATGTGTTAATTTTTTTCATTAGCTATTTTTTCTGTAATTAATTAATCAAAATTAACGTGTTAAAGTCCCAGCCCTAACATATATATCTGGATATTGCTTTTGTTGCATAACACCAAGTATCTTTTAACATGCTCTGAGCTCCAGTTATTCTCCTACTTACATCACATTTTTTCTTTTATCATATGGATCAGAAATAGGTCAGTTACACCGAAATCTGCATTCTGCATTTTTCAGGCCACAGAAAAAGTCTGTCATATGAAGTGCACTTTGAACGAGAAATTTAAAATGTCATTTCATGGCTGTTCTGGGGAAGTCGTCAGTGAAACCAGAGATATCGTGTCAGACGGGACCTTGGAAATATGGGCCGTCAGTGGATTGGGGGATTCGCGTTGCTGTTGGCCCTTAACTCCTGCTCCACGTGGCTCAAGCAGACGTTCTCCGAGGCGGACAAAAACGGCGACGGCAGCCTGAGCATCAGCGAGGTCCTTCAGCTCCTCCACAAGCTCAACGTCAACCTGCCCCGTCAGAAGGTCAAGCAGATGTTCAAGGTAAGGCGGCCTGTGTGGTGGGAACCAGGGACCTGGGAAGCGCCCTCTGCTGGTGGACCCTTGAATAGGCTACTTAATCTGAATTTACGCAATAATATTGGTGCGTTCGTTTTTCTCTCGGAACTCGGAAATTGAGTGACATCACGTCCGACACGTCACGTTCGAGCTACCACATCTCGGAATGAACATGGCTGCCTCCATGAATACGCTGCTGTGTGTTGTAGGGTTATATTTTAGCAGATTGGAGAGATTGAATTTTTTCCGAGAGACAAACAAACAAGAATCACGAACTAGTCAAACCACATTAAAAGCTTTATAAAATATTTTAGTACATTCATAGCGATATTCTTTTTTCGAGAGGAAAAACAAATTACAAACAAACCAAAGACACTAACAAGTCTGGTAAAAATCTGATATTGCATGCTAGAATACTGTTCACGGTCATGATACGGTATTCTCTACATCGAACACATGCAATTACATTTATAAATATTAATACATTTAACAAAATAAACATTTTTAAAGATTTATAAAATAGAATTACTGTTGAGCGTGTAAGCCGCCATGTTGAAATTACGTCACAGCGGAATCTCGGACAAGAAAATTGACATCAACTGACATCAACGACTCGGAGAGAAATAATCGAACGCACCAAATGTCTAGATATCGAAATGTGTTTCAAAATTGTCAGTTTGTCAATAGAAATGACATCTTAATGATTCAAGCACAGCATGTCCTACTTGTATATATAAAAAACTAATTTATAAACAAATAATAATATACATAATAAACACTGTTTTGGGATTTGGAACATCCCTAAACTGTCTACAGAACTGATTAAATGCTTTAGAAATACCTTTATCTTTTTCATTTCTCAAGTTCAGCAGACTGGTGGGAATAGTATGGGTGTTTGGCAGGGGGGCCGAGGAGCAGCGGAGCAGAGCAGAGAGAGGTCACACACAGTAGCGTGGCCACCTCTGTTTGCTCTTACTGCTTTTCACCCTGACTTTATGACAGTTAAAAAAAGTAGTTGAGACTCTGAAACCGAGGGTGACTGGTGGGGATTAAGCGGTGCCTGTTTGTGACTTGCATTGTCAGCATCTCATTGTGTCACCATGTCATTGACGTCAGCATAGCGCTCTGGGTCGCTAGCCCAGTTCGTCGGTCCAGCCTCACACAAGCCAACGCTAATGGGATTTGGCCACCTGTGCTTTGGCACCGGCACTCGGTATTGGATAATATCTGCGTTAGGCTCTGGTACATTAGCAGAGGCCAGGTAAGGCACAGACTGATTGGAGAGCTGGGCATTTGTCACTTGCATGGAGTAGACTCTCTGGGCCTCTGGCACCTCACGTCGGGTACTGGGTAGCTTTGTGATAGCCATGGACATGTAGGAGAAGGTGTGAGGCACTCTTTGATGGCCAGGCTATATAGATTGCCTTATGTTTCCATAAATTTAATTGTGTGTAGGTATATGAGTGTGAGTTTCCTTCTTCCTCAGTAATATGTACTAATATATACTTTATATGGTAATATATTCTTTATATAGTAATATATACTAATATATACTTTATATAGTAATATATACTAATACATACTTTAGATATATTATACCATGTATAATATATAATATATTCCCTATTTATACAACACAGTCAGTAAATCTGCCAGAGCATTTCACTGTATGTTATCTGAGTACAACTGCATATGACAAATAAATAACTTAAACACTTGTCACATATTCCCCTTCCTCAGACAGGACCCAAGTCAAACCTCAATTAAGGAAGAATGAACTTCAGAGTCTTTGCACTGCTAAGACAGACTGCATCTCTTATTACCTGTAAAAGGCAACTCTACACAGAATACCCTTCTTTATTAATAGCTGGGAAACACTGCTGAACATTCATCATTAAATCCCCCAACTTCTAATTAATGCCGTTCCAGTCAAAAATATGACACGAATAAAACCAAAACTTTTATCGCTATCCCTTTCTGAGTGGCTGGGAGTTTTTAATGGGTCTGCAAGTGTTCCTTTGACATTTTGTATTGAATTGCTATTCCATCACAAGTGTTTATTGCATTTTAAAAACCGTAACAGGTTGTGGTTTCAAGTGTTCTTTAAATCTTTGAGTGCTAGTTTCAGTCATACAGTATTAAGTGGGCAGTATGTAATAAGGGACTTAGCATGGTGATTAAAGACCAGGACTCTTAGGCTAAAGGTTGTCAGTCTTGGTCTCAGGATGGAATTGTTACTTACCCAGTGTAATATCTAGCTTCACATTAAATTCACAAGTGGTATTGTTGTGTAAAAGTACCAGGTTATCAGACTGCAGTCTGTACAGTAGCACTGCCTGTGAATAAAAGGTCACTGGTTGAAATATCAGCATCAGAAGAATGATTAGTTATACTTTACATTAACTGCACCTTCATAAAGCATTCATTACGTATTAATTGAAAATATTGCATTCATAATGCATTTATAGAACACTCATAGTCAGCATGTTTCTATACCTTAACATCCTAAAATACCATAACAGCTTTAAAATACATTAATAACAAACATTATCAGATTAAATGATTATAATGTTATTATCATATAATGTTTGTTTTTAGTGTATATTTAGTGTATATTACGGTATGTTAGGATATTACGGTATACTTACATGCTTCTTATGAATGCTCTATAAATGCATTATGTAGGGCCACTGAATGTTCTATGAATGCATTATAAGGGCATCATCAAGGTGCAGTTAATGTAAAGCATTACCGAATGATTTTAGGGTTGAGCCCTTGAGCAAGGATCACTTCAAGGATTGTCTGACCCTACTTCCTCAGTTGTACATGGCTTTGAAAAAGCATCTGCTAAATTAATGTACTGTAATTAAACGCTGAGGCAGGTTAATAAGCGGGCACTGAAGTATGTACCATCCCCAGATATTCAGGGAGCACAAGTCCTGTCCCAGGTAGCCTGGTGATTTTAGGATAAATGCCTGAGGTGCAGTTAAGGGGGGGTCACCCCCAGTTTGCTGTATTCCTCTTGCACAGGACGTCATGTCCGAATCCTCACCCCCGCCGGCCGCAGGTGACTAAAGCTCACGGCTCAACTGGCCGGCCGGCCCATATGGTCTGAGAGCGGCACAGATGGTGGGGTCCTAGGGTGCAGAAAGCGCTGCCGGGCGGCAGGGCCGGGCGGCAGGGCCGGGCAGCAGGGCCGGGCGCCAAGCTGGCCACGAGGAGCGCCGGAGCGCACGGCACGCTCACGTCTCCTGGCTGCTCTGCTCACACAGGACGTGTCCTGCCATGTTCCTGTGGCAGCTCTGCTTAATTCACCACTGCTGTTTTAGTAGAGTGCAAATTAGTCTTCATTTGCCTTCTTCCCTTGGTTTCTCAGTCTCGGTTTTTGATTTTGGGAAGAGCCCTTAAAGTAATGTTCTGGCCTCCCCAGGGTTCGGAGGACCATTCAGCTCCTGCTGTTAATCCTTTACAGTAAATTGTGATTTTTACAAACCCAATCATGCAGGTTTAACTGCGTAATTGCAGGTCTCATGCTTTCAAAAGCCATAAAATTAATGGTGTTAAAGATTTCACTCTTTTCATAAGTAAGTGCTCAGAAAAAAGCAAAGCAGGTTTGCTGAAGTGCGTCTCTGGCCTTTGCTGCTGCTGCCTAATGACCCCTGACCCCTGTCCCAGGCTCAAGCAACTGGTGGAGATGCTGCAGTTTCATTTAGTCACAGACAGGCAGACGCTTCTACTGGGAAGCAAAGTGAGACTGAACATCGGGCTTTGCTGGTGCCATGACTGAGGCGAAGCGTTTAAAAATCCAGTGACAAACTCAACGAGCCGATCACACGATTGCTTAAAAACAGTAATAAAGATTCGTGTTTGTTCAGCTATCGGCCTTTCGCTAGGAGGGCATCCAAGTTTTTTGGAATGATTTGTTTATTCCTCCTCCGTGCGTATTAATCGTTGCGCTGAGCCTGTGTCGTCATTTCATCACTGTGCGCATGCAGGCTGCTCAGGCAGCGGTGGGACAGCCTCAGCGCTCGGTGTGTGTGGCAGTCTGCATGTCGCCAAGCCGGCTAATTGAGTCAGACGTGAAGGGCGAGCGCCGCCAGCTCCCCCCAGCGTGCCGAGGTCGCGCTCCTCGGCCCCAAACGGGCTTGTCGGTGGAGCCGTCTGGCAGCGGCCTTGGCACGGAGACCCGCCGCCCGCCAGGTGCGTGTCTATCTGTCCGCCGGGCCGTGTAATTCCGCGGGGCTGAAAGCGGGTTCGCCTGCCCCCCATCCCCTCCCTTCCTCCGAAGCTGTGGAGGCCGTACTCCCGTCTAATTATACCTACTGGAGGTGCTGGGTTATGCAACCGAGGCGAATCTTCTCGGTGCCAGCACGATTCTCCGCCGATATGCAGCCACACGGTTCTGTGCTGTTCTGAAGCTCTGCTGATGTGGTGGCTGCTCCACCTTCCGCTCCGCTTTGAGTACCGTGTCCTGTAGCACCGCTTGAATTAGTGCTTTGATTCTTCCGCACAATTTGTGTTTTCCTCTTTAGGCTTGTTTTTTTTGTGGAAAAGCATACTTTCAGAAAGCTTGACCACTGGGTTTTCAGGTGGTTTCCCTGTGCCAGTCTCATTTCAGTGCTGGTGAGAGATGAGTGCAGTGCCCATAGAACCATCGGTTTGCAAACTGAATATGCATACAGTACCGTGAAAAACCCATCGGAGCCAAAGAACACGGTTTACCTTATAGCCATTTCAGAACTTCTCCAAAAATCATCTCAGTTTTTACAGCAACCATCCTACATTCCTGTGTGTTTGTTGATTTCACCAATAGCATTACGATGTATAGCTAATCAATACCTTAACAAGTTATTTAACTAAGTTAATTAATTAAGTTAGCTGAATGTGAAATAGAACCAATACAAAGAATGGCTGAGCGTGCTCCCCAGGAAAGACTCAATAAGATCCAATTAGATATTAGTAACTTTTTGGAGAACAGAAGAAATTCTTACTATTCATTGTGTCACTGTTGATTTGCATATATTGTTAAATTGTATTTTTTTTCTGATCAAATAGACACTTTGTACCCAGATAAAGAGCTTTAAACATTTACTTTGATGACCTTTGAAAAATTTAGCTCGGTACCGTTTGTTGATAACGTTGACATGATTGGTTCTGCTGTGTCCTCCTGCAGGAGGCAGACACAGATGAGAACCAAGGAACCCTTGGTTTTGAGGAGTTCTGCACCTTCTACAAGATGATGTCCACCCGCCGGGACCTCTATCTTCTAATGCTGACCTACAGCAATCATAAGGACCACATGGACACCGGTGACCTGGCCCGCTTCCTGGAGATCGAGCAGAAGGTTTGGCTCTCGTTCTGCTCCCGCCACACTGGTATCCCGTGACGTCCTAATGCCGGCTCAGGGGTTCTGGATTTCAGGGAAGAGTCTGTACAGGTGCTTCAACTTGTGTTTTCAGTACCATTGAAGTTCCATTGGTTTTCCTCTCCAGTTACGATGACCTATGAACATGGGGCATGGCATTTATTGTAAATGTGACTGCAGGCTGTTCTTAAATCAGATACTTCAATATGTTTGAGGATTTAAAAAAAAAAAATCTTTATCTCCTCGCTTATGAAGAATATGCCGCAGGGCAGTTGTTGAGGAAATCGATTTGACTTGTATATTAAATCTGCCAGGACAATTATAAGATAACCCAGAAGTTTTTTTTAGAATATTGTAGCATCTTCGAGGTCTTCTGTGTTCCCGTAGTTATTATGTAAGTGCAGATGTCAGTCTTGCGTTAGGGGCCGCCTTTGTTATGAAATAATAAACTGCTGCTCCAACTTCACCCTTAGCTCTACAGTGTTTCCTGTGGCAGACATGAGGAGTGGCAAATGGATGCACAATCCTGCTCATTTAACTTCAGAAAGATATTTAAAAACATACAGTATCGGCTGTGAGGCTGCCAGATGTGAATCTTCCTGAAACATGTTTTGCGTGACAATGCATCACCACAAGATTTCACTCAGAGCCAAAACATCCAATACCTACTGTAAACTGGCGCCTTTACTTTCAGACTGTAGCCGCACCGTGCTGCACAGTGTTTGTTTATCAATAAAATGCACCTCTTTGCTGATAAACAGATACCTCAATTCAAAATTTTACCATTATTTGATTAACTCAGTTCATGGCTGGACATGTTAACTTAAGATTATTTCATTTCATTTTCATTTCAAGTAATCCTTACATGAGCAGGGAAAGGGAACCTAAGAGCGAGTGCATTCGCTGAAATCTGCTTCCTGTTAATTGTCATGAAAGGTCACCTCGGTTTATGCGATTCAATGGGTTGTATCCCGTCTGTAGGCATCCCACGTCGTTCTGCAGGATGTTTTCGATCTGTTAACTTCGACTTGTCTATAAGTGTCCAAGTAAAATAAGATCTAGTGGAAACCTATGACTGACTCTCAGCTGAAGTGATTCCCATTGCCTGAAATGGCTTTACTGGTGTGCTAAGTGCTCTAATAGTAGGACTGCAATATCCTTTGTTAGCTTCAAATGGATGTTAATGGCATTCGGCTGAATTATGGTCACATTCTAATGGTTGTTGGTGCTCTTAAAATACTCAATCCTTTATTTACCTCAGCCAGTTTTACGCAAGTTGTGCCTGTGGTTTCTCCCCCGCCCTTTTTCGATGTCTGTTTCTTTGTCTGTTTCTTTGGTACAGGCTTCTCATAATTCAGTTAGTTTACTTTGGATGGCAGTACTTACTGAACCATTGGAAGTTTAGTTTACCTGAAATAGTAGGATGAAAAACGAGAGACTTTTTCCCTCAGTGACTGCTAATCATGTCTCCCTCTAATTGGCGAGTCCTTCAGACAGCTTTGCACGCGGCGATTCAATTTAAAAGTTGACAGAATCCACCAGGGATATTTTTAGTGCCACGCAACACTGATTATTCAGCTGATCTCTGTCTCTCCCTTTTTAAATGCTGCATTTTCTGGCAGTTTTCAGATCTGGAGATCTTATGCATCATCTCATTACTGAGAGGTTTCTGGTTACTTTCAAGAGAACTTTTAGAAAGTGAAGCTGTGGGATGGTGTGGGTGTGAATTATAAATGGTGTGTCTGTGTTTCATCATAACCTGTAAAGCATCTTTGTTCTCAAATGAAGAGTGGGGTACGCAGAACCCTCAATAATAGGTGTTCCTGAGAGATGCTGAAGACAGAAGGAGACTTCTACTTCCGCAAACTACTTAGGGAAAAAGCTCCTTTCTGGGATTAAAGCTATGGAGACACTCAATGGGACATTTCCCACTCGGATTTCTGCCTACGGTGCGAGGGTCACACTGCTGATTGGCAGGGAAGGGAATCGGATCGGCCCATCAACTGATTTTAAACCCCTAGCTGTCAGGTTAAGGAACTGGGTTCCTGTACAGAAATGGGACAGAAGTCACTGGTGGAGGTGTTTTTAAAAGGATTACCTATTCTCTCTTATTTTGAGTGTTGCCTGTACTGTTGCTGTTGTCAATGCTCTTTTCATACTTTCTGTTTTGATTGACAAAGTGGGTAAAGATTTCTGCTATTTACTCATGTTTACTGGTGTCAACTGCTCTCTCTCTCTCTCTCTCTCTCATGTCTTGTAGATGACTTCTGTCACAAAAGAACATTGTTTGGAGATCGTGAACAAGTTTGAGCCCTGTCCTGAGAACCAGGCCCAAGGGGTGCTGGGCATAGACGGTAAGGAGCGACACGATTCTCACCGGCCTTTGCAGTCACCTGTCAGAGCTTACTTAAGCTAGTACAGTCAGCCCTCCGTATCCGTGCGTTCTGCATCTGCGGATTTAAGCAACGGCGGATTGAAAATATTCAGAAGAACAGAAATTCTAAAAAGTTTCAAAAAGCAACACTTTTTGAACAACCAAGCCGCTATGCTAAATCCTTGCGGATGAAGTGATGTGTAGACATTCCCGGCTGCAGCCTCTGCGCGCCAAGCACTATGCTCAATCCACAAGGATGAAGTGATGTGTAGGCATTCCCTGCTGTAGCCTCTGCGTGTCGAGCACTATGCTCAATCCACAAGGATGAATTGATGTGTAGGCATTTCCTGCTGCAGCCTCTGCGCGCTGAGCACTATGCTCAATTCACAAGGATGAAGTGATATATAGGCATTCCCTGCTATAGCCTCTTAGCACCATGCTCAATCCACAAAGATTAAGTGACGTGTAGGCATTCCCTGCTGTAGCCTCTGTGCGCCGAGCACTATGCAAAATCCTCGCAGATGAAGTGATGTGTAGGCATTCCCTGCTGTATCCTCTGCGTGCCAAGCACTATGCTCAATCCACAAGGATGAAGTGATGTGTAGGCATTCCCTGCTGCAGCCTCTGCGCGCCAAGCACTATGCTCAATCCACAAGGATGAAGTGATGTGTAGGCATTCCCTGCTGTAGCCTCTGCGTGCCGAACACTATGCTAAATCTTCGCGGATGAAGTGATGTGTAGGCATTCCCTGCTGCAGCCTCTGCACACCGAGCACTATGCTAAATCCACGCGGATGAAGTGATGTGTAGGCATTCNCATTCCCTGCTGCAGCCTCTGCACACCGAGCACTATGCTAAATCCACGCGGATGAAGTGATGTGTAGGCATTCCCTGCTGCAGCCTCTGCACACCAAGCACTATGCTAAATCCATGCGGATGAAGTGATGTGTAGGCATTTCCTACTGCAGCCTCTGCACACCGAGCACTATGCTGAATCCACGCGGATGAAGTGATGTGTAGGCATTCCCTGCTGTATCCTCTGCACACCGAGCACTATGCTAAATCCGTGCGGATGAAGTGATATGTAGGCATTCCCTGCTGTATCCTCCCGCTGTTTCACAGATCCTCAGTCTCTCACCAGCACTTGCTGTTTAAGCATTGTTCACATTGTGTCTCTTTCATTCGCTACTAGTGTTTTAAGTGGTTTAAGTAATCTGTAAATTGCTAAACTTTATGTTGCTACTGATGTGTACTATGTAGTTAGGCTTACTGAACATGTACAAACCTCATTTCCTTACCAATATTCCCTAAACAATACAGTATAAGAACTATATGCATAGCATTGACATTGTATTGGGTATTGTAAGTAATCTGGAGATGATTGAGATGATTTAAAGTATACAGCAGGATGGGCGTAGATTACATGCAAAGACTAAGCTATTTTATATAATGGACCTTGAACATGTGCTGATTTAGGTATCTGTGGGGGTCCTTACCCACCCCCCGCCGATACCGAGGGACAGCTGTATTTTGCATTATTTGATGAATCTATTTCTCCGCTTGGTGTATCCTATAAATAACTGCTTTCACGCATAAAAGATTGAGCTCCTCCTTGGGACCCTTATCCTGTTTCTGCTTCCTCCCCCCACCCAGGTTTCACTAATTACATGCGCAGCCCTGCCGGGGACATATTTAACCCGGAGCACAACGAGGTAAACCAGGACATGACGCGACCGCTGTGCAATTACTTCATTGCCTCCTCGCACAACACCTACCTGATGGGGGACCAGCTGATGTCTCAGTCCCGGGTGGACATGTATTCCTGGGTGCTGCAGTCAGGCTGCCGATGCGTAGAAGGTCAGACCCCCCCCGCCCCCCTTTCGGTCTATAATCAAATCCTTTTACAGCATATGGGATTCTTAAGGTCACTTTCAATGTGAGTTTATGTTGTTGACCTTTTATTAAAAGCTGTTCCTAATACACGATGTTACCCAGAAATGACCCCCCCAGCACGAAAATACTGCTTTGACTAATGATGATTGCATGCTCAAAATACATGGGGCCTGCAGCCAGACTTACAGCACAGGAACAAGTTGTAACTTTTCTTTCGAACTGTTGAATAGGCCAAGTGTGCATTTGTGAGCACTTTTGTATTAATAATTGATTTGTTTTGTCTGTTGTTAAGGCTTCTGCAAGGCTCAGTGTTTTTATACAGCGTAAGCAAGCAGTAAATGGGCCATTCAGAAGCAGCAGCCTGCAGGATGTAAATATCATAATGGGATGTTTTCATTATATTATCCCATAAATCTGCACATATATAAAACTTACAGCTAGTATTTTATAGAGAGATTTAATTGTTTTTTATCATTGAATAAACTTTTGACAAATTTTTGTGCTTTTGTTTTATTGCTTTTTGTGCTTTTTTCCCGCCAAATTGAGCTGAATATTTTTCCCGTTTTGCGTTGCTAGATATTTTGCCGAATGATGTAACGTTAATTTAATGATGTAATGTTCATTTCTGAGGGGGGTCGCTAGGTGATCTTTTCCGGCCCACTGTTCACGCCGATTGTAATCATTGTATGTCTCTTTCCCTTACAGTCGACTGCTGGGATGGTCAGGATGGCGACCCCATCGTGCACCACGGCTACACGCTGACCTCCAAAATCCTCTTCAAAGATGTGGTGGAAACCATCAACAAATATGCATTTGTTAAAAACCCGTATGTCTATTTAATTTTTAATAACTCTTACCATTGTTTGAAAATTCACCATGAAGCAGGAGTTTGCTTGCATGTATCCTGTGCTTCATAATTGAAAAGGATACATTTACTTGTAAAGAGAGTTTAAGTTTTGGTGACAGAATGTGACTCCTCATTTTCCTTTTAAGGAATGATTTGGAGATTTCCTTTTAAACGGTGCTGTAGGTGCCGGGGAAGGCGGCTGGAAGCCACGCCCTTTATATTTACACTTAAGCATTTAGCAGAAGCTTTTGTCCAAAGTGACAAACATGACAGGAAATTAGCACAATTACAAACATACATGCTGTTGAGGAGTCAGCTAGGCATTAGTGCATCCAACAGATGCTGAGGTGTAAGCAGTAGAGCAGGGGCTACACAGCAACTACTAGAACATAATAAGGCTATTCAGTGAGCAGAAGTGCAACATTAAGATAATTCAGGGAACGTAAAGAGGCATCAGGCTAGTAGAGGAATTCATGGCACAGGTGAGTTCTTGAAGGTGGAGAGGGAGTCTGCTGACTGGACGTGTCCACCATCAGGAACCACTCATGAGAAACGTCTGGAGGGATATTCCTCGTGTGCTGGAGGGGGCTCTGAGCTCCTGTATCTACAGTATATGTCATGGTGCTGAAGCTTATCCAGAGCTTACTTATGCTACAAGAGGAACAGCAAAATTGTCTTACATCAGTGTCTGGTATTGAGGCTGTAGGGAGTGTCAACCTTCAGCGATTGACTTTTCACAGAAAGCGGATCATGGCTGAGGGAAAGAAAGGTGATCAGAATGTGTCTCTTAGCGGAGATGCCGGGTTGCCCTGTGAAGGTCTCTGCGTGGCAGCGATGTTTAATTAGCGAGGCACTCATGCAAAGGTTCATAATCCCGGCAAGCAGCACAGGAAACGTGACCTTCAAGGTTACTCATGAAGTAACTGAAAAACTCAATTAAAGAATGAAATTTAATCATTTTATGTCAGGGTACCATTAAAACCTGTAGGCTGCTCAGAAAACATCAGAAAACAAGTGAGCGTCATAATCACAGCACAAAACCAAGGCTGTTTTAAACAGAAAAACACTCATCAAAGCACCGTGTAGCAAATGAAGTGGAATGGAAGGCACTGGCTTGGATGGTCACCCATCCACCTTCCAGTCATTAATTCAGTACGGGACGGTGGGAGCCCATGTCCTGTCCCAGACAGCAGAGGGCGCTGGGCAGGAAGATGTCCTGCATGGAAGGCCAAGCAATTGCTGGGTCTGAACAGTCAGTAAAACCAAATTCTGAAATGTCTGCAATCAGCTAAAATAAGAACCTCATTACTGATAAAACAGCGCAGCGAAGATTGGACCGTCGTAATGCGTAGTCTTGCTTTAAATGTGATTGTTACCTTCCATGAAATGCAGCATTTTTTGACTGGAATAAAATGTCCACAGAATGTTTTTGATCACGTTAAAAATGAATCGCATCTTATATAGCAGTGGTCCCCAACCTTTTGTAAAGTTAGTGCTACTTTTCCGAAGAACATTATCTGGAGGGCTACCAAATCACAACAGTATGCTGATGGGGGGGGGCATTCAACCTCAATAGGTTTTGCCGATCGGGGGGTGTAAAGATGTCGCCATCGACTACAAATGTCTTGATGATCGACCTGTGGATTGAGATTGACCGGTTGGTGTTATAACTTCTATAGAAAATGTCATAGATTTTTGAAAAATGAAATATCTCAGGTGTTTGTATCGTATCTCAACATTCCTTAACCATACATCTACCCACCTTCCATAAGCACTAAACCAGTACGGAGTCACAGGGAGCCTGAATGACATCACAGGGTGCAAGGCAGGGGATTCCCTGCATGAAGAGACTGTTTGAGAGACTCTAAGCTGGGAGGGAATGTAAAGCAACAGCTTGTTTGGAGCTTTTCTATCGGCTTTCGGAGGGGAAAGAGGAAAACCGGAGGAAATGGAACGTATCTTATCAGGCTTTCTGGAAGAGAGGCAGACACCATGAATGAGGGTTATTTTCAGATCTGAGGAGTCGGCAGCCTTACAGTATCTAAAGTCACCTCTGGATCATTACACAAAACTCATGACTTAAAATCTAGATTAATCATATCATGCTTATTTTTTCTGGTTAAAATGGAAAAAATGTGGATGTGATCTAAAAGAAGATTTATTTAAGCGAAAAAAAGAGCCTTTGATATTAAAAGTACATCAAATTCCCTGTACGGCAGCAAGGTGGGACACAAAAACAAAACGAGCATGTTATTGTTTGTGGATTTGCTATGACATGTGTGCTGTATTCAAAGAGAATTTTGGGAAGTCTTCAGGTATCAGATTTGATTGGCTAGCATTACGGAGAATCACTGGAAGTCTAATAACTTAGGGACGACAACTTAATAACATTTATGTCCCCCTACCCCATTTTTTTTTGTTTGTGCTGTTGTGTCAATTTTGATATTTAAATGAAATGCGGCTGGACTGTTTTCTGTGCTTGCTGACAAGCCTTGAGCTCTCTGTTGGGGCTTCGGGTGATATCACGCAATTAATTTATTATGGTTTCCGCAAAAATTGCCTATAAAAGGCTGAAGGTTCAAAGGATTACAACAATATTGGTGTTATTGAAAATATGGAGTCTTTTTAATCCCGTTCAGCATCACCTGGGTCATGTTTAATGTAAACAGTACAGGAGATCCATGTGTAAAATACTTATTTTAAAGTACGTGTTGTTTGTTCTGCTCTGCAAATGGACATTTTGCAGACCTTAACAGACCTTAAATAAATTATAAATGTGTTAACTGTGTTTTCAGTTTTCTAGATGCTAACTGAACAACTAACAGCCTGGTTTCAGGAACAGTGCTCTGTTAGCTGTGGAGGTCATGGAAAGTGCTGTGAAGGCTTCACTGATCAAAGATTAAAGGAGTTTTGTCAAATAGGTGATGAAAACCAATAATATAATCTTGGAGAGGAAAATATTGACATGGCTGACTGGCCTGACGCTTTGCGATCGTCTCCAGATACCCGGTGATCCTGTCCATCGAGAACCACTGCAGCGTTCCTCAGCAGAAGAAGATGGCCCAATATCTGATGGAGGTGCTGGGAGATAAGCTGGACCTGTCTGACGTCAGCTTGGATGAATCGGGCCGCTTGCCCTCCCCTGAAAGCCTGAAAGAGAAGATCCTTATAAAGGTAAAGCTGTAAAAATATCCTGAAAAGACATCAGGGATGATGAAAGAAGCTTCTGGCATAGCATATCCGTGGCTTTGTGCGAGGGTAGGTGGGCAACCAAGTTCAACAGCAAAGTAGGACAAAAGGTGACGACTTTAAGGCAAACAAGAGAGACCATTTCATAAGAGGAACCATTTTTCCGTAGCCAGTGGGACTCATTCTTATTGCAAAGCAGGCCACTGCGTGACTTTGATAGATGGGTTTGTTCAAGTTACAAGTCCGTGGCCTGTAAGCTGACAGCGTGCTGTGATCCCTGAACATGTCCCTGGCTGTTCTTCTGAACCTCGTACTGCGTAACATGCCGGTCACTCACCGTTCATCCCGACCGCACGTACCCAGCTGAGCTTCACTGCTCTCTCGGACTTCGCATCACGTACCGTGTGAGCCGCTCGAGGCTGACCAAGAGTAATAGGGCCCCTGACAGACCCCCGATTCTGTTGGCCTCTGGGAACGTAACTGCAGAATACCGGAAGGGCCCGAAGCGTGAATTCTGATGTGTGGTGGGGGCTGCTTCCCGCCCGTATCAATCACTTCTAGAGCGAAGTCTGAGAGAATCCCCCAGAATCCCCCAGCTTCGTGACACCCTTCTGCTAATCAAGTCTGTCTCGCTGTAATGGCAGACTAGTCTTGCTCTGGAAAAAGTTTTGACAGCTGAAACACTGAAAAATAAATATCTCAGGAGTATGGAGTAATTTTTAGGTCTTCTCTGTAGAATGGAGGCTGACTGAGGTAGTCAATCATGCAGTGGAGCCTGTTTTTAAATGTGAGAAGTCCTTTCCACCACGATGCCGTCGTGGCCAGACTCCTGTACTACAGTGTGCCGTCATGCTAACATTTTCTTGGTTGGCTTAATCAACATTCACACTTCATTCATGTCATCCTTGAAATCGACCGGCCCTGTTATCCCTGACAGCTGAGTGTCAGGCACCTGCTACACATGCTTGTCAAATGTATTTTGGACCAGAGCTACCATTACGATGAGCAAGATGAGTAACTAAGAATGCCACACTGTTCGTGTGTGACATTCGGTTGTGTGGCAGATTTATCTAAAGTGTAGGGTGGCCTACAACGGTTAACAGTGTTTATGTATTGGGCAATTCTAGCATTATGGATGTGACATTTAGATTCACTGGCAAACAAAATGCCTCGGAGCATGTCAAGCTTAGTATCAGTGGATCAGTTTGCATATCTATTCACGTAACCTTTTGGATTGAATGTAGACCAGTCCTTAAAATTCATATATTAATTTGCATTATAGAAATACATAGCATTTTATCAGTGTTAGAGATGTGAAATCAAATGGACCTTTGCATGAAATTGCCCTATAAGTGATCTTTCTTAAGCTTAATTTTTGTATTACTAGAATATGTTATTATAAAGATATTTTACACTATTTGTATAGTTCAGTTTTAGTGAATAACAGGTGTTTGATAATATGGTTATCCAAAGTAAGTAAAGGGAAAAATTTTCATTGTTGACACTATAGCACACAACAATGAGATTTAACCCATATGTGACATAGCAGCGGGCAGCCCTTATTTAGCCCCCAGGGAGCAGTGCGTGGGGGCTGTATCTTGCTCAGGGTACCTCAGTGGTACCTTGCTGGTCAAGGATTCAAACCAGCAACCCTCACAAGTGTGCTTCCCAAACCATTAGGACACCACTGCCCCTGTTAGTATTGGCCAGTACTACTATGGTACGTTTTTTCCCTTCCCAGGGCAAGAAGCTGCCAGCAAACATTGACGAGGATGCAGAGGAGGGAGACGTGTCGGACGAGGACAGCGCCGATGAGATGGAGGACGACTGCAAGCTCATGAACGGAGACGTAAGGCTGCCGGCTCTTCCTCCAGCTCACTTTCATTTTACAACGGTGCACAGAATGGAAACACACCAGGTTAATGTCCACTACATTTGTATATGTCACATTCAGGCAAATTGATCTAGTTTATCAAAAAAATGCCCCCCCAGATCTATGAATGGCAATAATTTACCTGTAAATTGTGCTTTTTATTTAGTTAGAGTTGAGAGTTTAGTCCAATTTACGCTCAGTGGAAGGAGTTAACTGGATGATGTATCACGTACTCCTTGCTGCGTGACATGATGAGATTCTCGGAGGTCCCTGAAGGGGTGGGCAGCAATTACGAAGGGATAGTGTGCAGTTGGAGCCGTTGGCTGGGAGAGGCTCTCGTGTCGGCAGCCGTAATGAAGGTGTCCCGTGGCCACGTCTCTTCACGATGATCTCGCACCTCGTGCTTTGATTGTAATGTGCATGTAGGGGACATGTTTTCATCAATTTGAGCACTCCTGATTTTTGAAACATTAATTGGTGGCTGGCAGCAACATTGCCTGCCCACCCCTGATGAATCTTAATTATCATATTCCTTCAGGGCTTGGCCTGGGACCCTCTCAGTTAATTCTCGAATTAATCATTTGCTTTCCCTCCCCCCACCTTGAATGAGATGAATTGTATTCCCGCAAACCTTTCTTGTCCATGAAACCCTCCAGCTTTGAATATGGAATCGAGGCCTGGAAACCCAAACATATGGTGTGGTTTTTTTTTTTTTTTTTTGCTGTCAATAACTAAACAGTTTAACCTGCTTCCCACTGGTTGTTTTATTGGCTCCCATTGGGCTAAACCAGACAGTGATTGACAGCACCCGCTAAGTCCCGCCCCCATTACAATACCAGTAAATACATCTGGATGCCTCTCCTTTGTTGTGTGTGTATCCTGTGCACTTACAGCGTAGGTCCTGATATCCTCTTACGGTGTTACTAAGTGTGGAGCTGTAAGCTGAACACAATCATGAGTTTGTTTGGACCTTCTGGAAGTTTCAGCATGCTGAGGAGTGAGGGTAGTGAAAAGACTTTTATCTCCCCTGATCCGCCACTAGTGATCAGAGTGAGGTTGAACGTTACCTGTCTTTGAGTTCTGGAAATGAATCGCTAACGATGTGAGTATCCTGAGTGTGGCGTCTGCGCGCTCATGCGTGCTTTATTATTAGCGGCCTGTCAGTCAGCGCAGTTGCATCAGGCCGCGTTGGTGCGTATCGCTGGGTCTGTGCTGCCGTTCTTCTGCTGGTAAACTCGCTACACGCTTTTGCATCACGGCCGTTTGACGCTCGGCCGCCCGCGTACGGGGAAGACGGCGGTCCGGACCCCGCGGTCCCCATGCCACGTGATGGACGGGAAGCGCATGGAGCTTGAGCAGGGGGCTCCGGGTCATCCCCCCCCCCCCCCGCCCCGCACAGCTCTCAGCAAGCACCGGCACCGCCCGCGAGGTGCGGGTCTGAAACAAGGCTCCAAAGGACTTTCGGCAGGGGGGAGGGGGCCACGGCAGCGAGAATAACAAGACGGCCATTGATTCAGCGTTGCCATAAGAGGCAGACGGCTGCCCATTGGACCTCTGTGGCAGTGGCCAGTGCTGGTTCAAGCCCATTATGTCTGCTGCCATCAGCGGAAGGGTGAAAAGGTTAAGGCTCACTGGTGCCCCCTGCAGCTTCCAAACGGAAATTCCTTCCCACTGAACTGTTTGGTTATACTCTCTTTGTTAATGTTATTCTTAGTTCGAGTGTAATTCAGCTGTATTGTATTATTTTATTCTGAAACTTTTCGGTGGTATTGTACAAATCTTGATCTTTCGTCCAGATGGTGCCAGATTGGTTGTCACTCTGTTGAATGAAACTAGTTATCTGTCATGGCTAATTGAAGCGTTTATCCTTCTCTTGATCTTCCTGATGGTTTTAACTGCTGGTGGTGTGCTGTTTTATCTCCAGTTCAGCTTTAAATATTTTCCCCTCACAGCGAATATATGAATATATATGAATTTCAAAGCTGACTATTACAGACCCTGGAAATAGAGGCCAGTGTTTGGGCTGCTTAGAATTTACCTGAATTTACATCACAATGAAAAGCTGCGGAAAAAGACTATTTTTCCCTTAACAAATAGATACACTGCCGGTCCTAGACGGAGGGTGAAACAAGCCCAGAGAATAGATACAACAAGATGTTTGTGAAATAACTCTGCCCCCTAGTGTTCCGTATTTGTAATTGTTCAAAAACAAGAAGCTGGGCTCGCTGGTGTCGTATCAAGCCTTACTCAGGAGTGGAGCTGTTCAGGCTGTGACCGTAACAGGACCTGATGAATCAGGCACTGGTAAAGAATAAAAGGCAATTTAAAAGCATGCTGTTGTCATGCTAGTGGTAGCAGCTGAACAAATCTGCCCTGTCACTTCTAAATGAAGATGCCCAGATGAGAATAAGACGCCGCTTTCAGGCTCTTTCCCTCAAGGGGCTGCGCTGGCTGCTTGTCGCAGAAGTTCATTTGGAAGCCCCTGTGATTCCTGGATAACTTTCAGTTTGCTGTGTCCCTCTCGCCACCTTCCACTATTAGTCTGAGGCTCGGGGAGCAGGGAGATGTTTCTGCCCAAATGTCATTTATATGGCAGTGCAGTTGGAACCGGTTGATTAGCTATGGGGGTGGGGGGGTGTATCGCTTTCCTGGTTATCGCTAAATGGGCTCAGTCAGATGGGGGGGCTGCTGCTCTGACTTCAGTGTTCAGAAGTTCACAGTGTGAACCGACTTAAAAACTGAAAAATTTGCCATTGGTATTATGGTGATTATGTGGAAAAACTTTCAGAGTGTTTCCTGTTTCCTGCTATTGAACGGGAAATAAAATGTTTCAGCATGATTCCACAGGGACCTATAAAAATCATGGTTCTTTTAGACTCTTTATCTGCACAAAAATCCTAAAATGCACCAGTATGAAATTTGGGCTTTGGAGCCAACGTGATCCTGTTTATTTTGCTTTAATGTGTGTTTGCGATGCAGGAATGGCTGTTTTCCCTCTTAATAAGGATCTGATCGGTGATCTCAAAATGTAAAATGAGTAACTAAAATGTGACTGTTATAATGTGTTTTTCCTGAGTTGATATATATATATACTCCCATCCTGCACTCACGCTCACATCTCTGTGCACAGATGTCCGTAAACAGGAAGCAGGTTGAGAGTTTGGCAAAAAAGAAACTGGACACACTGATGAAGGAGTCAAAGATCCGCGACCGTGAAGACCCCGACAACTTCACCATCACCTCTCTGCCCGCAGAAAAGATTAGCCAGAAAGGATCCCCCAAGGTACTCCATGTTTTTGTCCGTACCCCATAATTTAATATGTGCGATTAGCTGGAATCGGTGGATCTGTCACTATCCGTCACCTTTGGATCTTAACCTTGTCAGCGGTGTCACGTTGGATGGGGACACATGCTATATCTGTACTGTGTACATGTATTTTTATCTTCTCCCTGTTCCCAGACGCCCACGTCTCTGAGCGCCCTGCCATTTGTTATGTAATCTGTGCATCAGCCTCACAGTGCATTCTGGCTTGGATTACTGGCCTGCTGTGCCGAAATCAAAGATGGTGCCCGCTCGGGGGATGTAGGGGGTGTTGGGGGGAGGGGGGGGTGAGTTTATCCACTGACCCCGCATTGCTGCAGTGCAGCTTTATGGCTGTTTTTTTTTGGGAGGGGGGGCATTGTGTCCACCTGTATTTACAATTCTGTGAATGCCTTCTCTGTCTCCGCGTGTAAAGATCACGGGTGATCTTCCCGTTACATGGGAGGGAAACATGCAGACGGAGCCCCGGAGAGCTAGGCTTACCCATAAAGCCCCTCCCACTGCACCCGCTCCCCCCCCACCCCGCCCAACTGCCCATTCATATGGAACACAAAACGGCCATTGAAGGATCACTTCCTGTCATCAGTATGTCCTTCTCCTATGCAGCTCATGGGGCTTCATTGGATATTTAAATTGACATTTTCTCAGCCCCTTCTGCATATGAATGTCAGTCCATCCATGTGTGTGATTTTTATGTACCCAGAAGGCCGCCCCTGGTCCAGTGCACACTGGCATCCCCTGGAGTCATCACTGCGCAGTGTGGCTCTCCATGTTGTACAGTTGTAGTCAAGGCCTCTCCCTCGCATTCGTGATATATATACGGCTTGCAGAGGGAAACGAAACGATGTTTATAGTGGGGGAGAAAGGTGGGGGCACTCCTGGAGAGCAGATGCTTGAATCAGGTGCCCTTTATTAACCGATGTGCCCTGGAGCCCTCTGGAAGTGGACTAAAAGAAGGTTTCCAAGTGGGGACAATAGATACAACTCAAATCAAAGGTACAAGGGTCAGCGGCCAGCAGCTGTGTCCTTTGGTCAGCAATCTCTTCACATGTGTCTTCCTGGGGGGCCAGGTGGGGGGGTTGGACCCTGTAGGCTAGGTGGGGCACTTACATACCAAAGGGGCAGAGTACTGAGTCAGTGGGAGATGAGAGGCAGAGACTAAGAAACATCGTGTTCTGCTTCCACAATAGACATTTTTAACTTTTTTATCACTGCGGCAAACACAGTTGATAGTGTTTTTGGTTCAGCAGACACCCCCATGCCACACTCCTCCGACCCCACAAAACAAGATGGCTCTCGTAATTTGCCCCCCCCCCAGTCTTCTGTCACTGTGTAATTACCTGCTGGTGTGATAGATCAGCGCTGTAATTGGGAGCCCCCTGGGGAAGGGCATCCCCGCTGGACCCCCGCTAATAGTGATGAATGTGCAGCATGACTGGGCACGGCCCCCTGACCCCCTCCCTCCTACTCACGGCTCGTCGCAGTGAGTAACACTGTGTAGGCTGGGGGCGGCACCACGAGGTGGGGGGAGTGCAGCTCACAGGCTGCCACAAGGGCAGGAGTACGTGGTCTGCTTGAAATTGGGGGGTAAACAGGGAGGGCTGAATTACCCCACCGATTCATCTAAACTTAATGAGTTACGTTTCAGAAGCTTTTCGACACTGTTTGTGAAGTATCACCTTTACCCATCATACTTTTCACAATTATATCTTTCAGAATTTTAAATGATTATTTTCCTTACTTTGGATTATTGTCTGTGCTGTAAGATTCTTGCTGGCAGTAAGTGGGCACATGTTCCCTGACAATGAGGGAACGATCAGTGTGTTAAATATCACTGTGTGGTCTGTCTGTTATATATCACTGTACTGTGCTTTTATAGTGTCGATATACATTTTTTCCCCTCAATTTCGTTTATTTTAATATCCATCCATCTCTCACCTGCTTATCCAGTACAGCTTTGCAGGGGGACTGCAGCCTGTCTCAGGCCATCATCGGGTCATACTGGTTAAGTGGTCGGACCGTGTGTGGAGTGCGGGAGGTACCCAGAATAGCACCCCGTGTGGGGGGACATAGAAACTGCACACACACACATACAGTAGAGCAAGCGAGGGATTCAAACGGCCCACTGGGCCTCCTGCCTCCTACTTTCTGTTCTCTTTGAAATGTATCTGTATCATCTGCACACAAATCAAATTCTACATCTTCTCTCAACTTTCATTTTTCTTCTTTCCTCTCACCCCCCCCCCCCAGGTCAAAGGTGATGAAGGCACTGACACTGCTGATGAGTCAACCCCCAACACCAATAAGCGCGTGGGCAGATCCTTCATGGGAAGCTTCTCCAAACGGAAGGTTGGTCCTCAATCAGAGGCCCCCCTCAATGCACCCCCCCCCCAGTGCCCCTCTCAGAGCGCCCCTCAATGCACCCCTCAGTGCCCCCCCCTCAATGCACCCCTCACTGCCTGCCCCCCATAACCCGTTTCAGATCTCCCTTTATTGCCCCCCTCAGAGCCCCCCCCCATTCTGCATTGTCTGTCCTGGGGGGTGACGCTCCTCTCATCATTCCACGAGTCCCTTCTCTCCTCAGCTGACGCTGATTTCTGTCCCACAGCTTCCTTCACAGCATGTCTGCCGCTTACTCCGCGCGGGATGCCGTCCCCAGAGCGGCCCATCCGCACTCGTCTGCCCCCCGTTCCCTTTGAGCGGCCTTGACGTTTTCGCAGATATGAGCGGCCAAGATGCTCCCGCGGCCCCGGGCGCCACGGGACACTGAGCGATGTCACTCCCGTTTGTCTGTCACCTCCACAGAAAAAGGCCGCCAAGCTGAAGAAGACGTCCAGCCTGGAGGACACTGACACGGATCAGGAGAGCTCCAGCAGCGCCTCGCGAGCACCAGGCCATCACAGCAGGTACTGGGACGCCCGCCCACCCCTCCTCCGAGAAGGTCCTCATCCAGCAGGACTACCACAACTCACTGGAAAGTTGGGAGCCTGTTTGTGCATGTAAATCAACAGGAAAATAGATGCTATACATCCAGATGTATATTTCTAAATTTACATTATATACTTACTGTCAAACTGCCAGCTGAAAGCATATCATCACAAATCCGAATTTGAGCCTGACCCTCATGTGGCCTTTTGCAATGGAAACCGAAATGGATTTCAACAGCAAAAGGATGCTTGTTCCCGTCAGGAAGAAGAAGACCATGAAACTGTCACGGGCTCTGTCCGACCTGGTCAAGTACACCCAGTCTGTGGGCATGCACGACATCGAGACGCAAGGTGAGCGGCCGACGTGCTCCGAGAAGCAAGGTGCACAGAGTGATACAGGGCGCCACCTAGGGGAGTGGCGAACTACCTGCATGAGGAGGGACATGATCCCCCTCATCCCCCAAAAGGGCATTGTGTAAGAATCAGGGCCGCAGTAGGGAGCCTGGGTACCCTGGCAGATCCAGTGGGCCTGGAACTGAACAGGGGCCCTTTAAAACATTGGATTGTGAATTTTATTGGGGTGGGGGGGACAAGGTGACATTTTGTCAGGCAGCCCAGAATTTATAGCTTTACCCCTGATAGGAATCACACATAATGGCTTGATCTGGAGAAAATAACAGTGAATAATGATGTTAAGTATGAGGAGGTCATGCAGAATGTTCAGGAGAGT